TCGCCAAGCACAAAGGTGCATAAGAAAAGTCAATTCAATGGAGGAACAGGGGAAGACAGAGAGGGAAAAGTAAGGGGGCCTGACTATGAGACTGCCCGACTTTCTGGGAAGTCTTAAGTTATCTCGGTCCTGTATCTGTAGTTGAAGGTGAACAACTGGTCATAGAGGATGGGGTGGGTTCAATCCTGCCAGTGACAGGTGCTGGCCAGACAAAGGCTGTCTTTTGGTGCTCGTGAATTGGGGGGAGGCAAGGGGAGGCCAATTTCCAGCTGCCCCTCTTGTATCACCCTGTCTCCTAAATCCAAAGCAAATAGCTCAGTGCTATCTGACCAAGTCCAGCTGTTGGATTCTCCCTTGGGCATACACAGAAAAGCCTGCCAGGCAAGGTTTCTCTTCTGATCTGGGAAATCACATTTGATCACCAGAGCTGCCTTTTTTCATCTATAAACAGAGAGCAGAAGATTCCCTGGAGCTATCCCCAGACAGTAGGTTCCTGAGCGAATAATTCAAGGATCTCTGATTTCATCAGTGTGAAATCCCTACCCTGACAGAAAGGGGTTACAATTTGCATATACTGGTTTTCATGAATCTGTGGCAGAAGAATAAATCTTTCTGTAATGAGTTCCTTCCCCCTGTCACTAGGCTTTTGCTCAAAGCTTAGGGATACCTGATGGAGCTCATATTCTGTTGATACAGCCTCCAAGAACTGAGGTAACCTCTGTGCCAGGATGGAGGCACAGGATTAGTGGTCTTGTGGAGAAGTAGAGATTGAATGCAGACTGAGCTGGGGGAGGGGGAAGAGAAGGGAGAAGCATTTTTGGAAATGGTTCTCGGAACAGCAGGTTGAGGGTTTGGCCAGGGAACCTGAACCAGTTTCTGCTACCTGCCTCAGTTTTCCACTCAGTCGCCCGAAGTTTCTCTGCTATTCTCTTCCTACCAAAGAGAGAAGAACAAGTTTCTGCCTGCCCCTAGGGTCCAGAGGATGCCAAAACTTTCTTCTCGCAGAGCTAAGCCAAATCAGGGGAAGGGGGCAGGGAAGGTGAGCAAGTGTTCAGGCATGCATACAGACAGACAGACATGCATGCACACATTCCCTGCAACCATGGAAGAAAAAGGGAAAGGCCCTCTATGCTGGTCAGGGAAGGAAGTGGATTATCTGACCTCTGCTTCCGGCTCTAAAGAAAGACCCAGGGCTCTTTCAATGCCAGCAGCTCATACTGTCCCATGGAGAGGAAGCAATTCTTGGGGTCAAAGTCCCTGGCATATTAGAGGGGTCAGAAAGCACTGATTAAACAGATTAGGGCCTCGTCAAAAGCTCCCCCCTGTTGCTCCTCTCTCCCTCATCCCTATAATACCGGTCCAGCTAAAGAAACACAGACTCAGCCTAGTCCCAAGAGGCAGGAGAAACACTACCTGAGTCAGTTAAAGCTGGTTTAAAAAAAAATCCTTCTGAGCCTCCTTTGCTGGATCTTCATCCAGGTGACACTTACTAACTGGGTATCTCCCAAGGCTGTCTTCGGGCCTATCTTCTAGATCATCTCATTTGGTGACTCATCACTTTCAAAGGGTCCAATCATCATCTCTATGCAAATGAATTCTCCAAGCTATTTATCTAGCTCTGCTCTCTCTCCCAGCCTCCTAGACTTTCATCACCAACTGTGTATTGGAGATCTCAAACTCAACAAGTCCAAAAAGAACTCATTATCTTTCCTGCCAAGTCCTCCCCTCTTCCCAGATTCCCTGTGACTGTTGAGGAAACCACCGCCCTTCCAGTGAGATAGGCTCACAGCCCTGGTATCACGATCAGTTCCTCACATGAAGTCTCCCCACACATCCAATCTGCTGCCTAGTCTTGTCCACCATAGCAGTATTCTGTGTCCCCTTCCCTCCAGTCACACAGACACCTTCTCAGAGCAGGGCCTTATCCCCTCCACCTAAACTACTGCAATAGCCTTCTGGTTGGTTTCTCTGCCTCAACCCTCTCCTCACTCCTGGTTATCTTCCACTAGCTACCAGAGTGATCTTAAAGATTAAAGCCTTTTTAAATGGCTGTACCACCCACACATGACAGAGGATATGCTCAAAATATTAGAAATGCACAGATTTATTTATGAAAAAAAAAATGTGATCTTGAAAAGCTCAGGTCTATCACTCACCCTCCCCCCATTCAATAAACTCCAAGGATCCCTGTTATTCTAGGATGAAATATAAAATCCTGTTAGGCTTTTAAAGCCCTATATAACCTGGACTCTTTCCAATCTTTTCCCACTTTGCTCTCCTCCACATGTTTCTCACATACAACACTCGATCTCCCCTCTTTATTTTTTTTACTGGCTGTCTCTCATTCCTGGAATGTTTTCCCTCACCTCAACCTCCTGGTTTCCCAGCTTTCTTTCAAGACTGCTCAAATTCCACTATTTTCAGATGGCCTTTCCTTGCCCCCACCCCCACCCCAAATGCTAGTGCCTCTTATCTGGGATTGCCTTTCATTTACACAGTATATACTTTCTATATATGCACGAGAATGTGAGCTCCCAGAGAGCTGGGGCCATCTTACTGAATTTCTTTGCATCCCCAGAGCTTAATGCATAGTTAGCACTTAATAAATGCTCATTGACTGACTAGATACAAGATTCTTTGACAAAAGGGGCGGTGAAATAGTATTTTAAAACTCCAGCCTCTCTTTTGGGAAAAAGGTGTTGATGGTAGTGGGAAAGTATGCGGAGAGGAAAGCGATGTGTGTGTGGGGGGTGTGATTTGTGTCTTCTTGTACAAAACGACTAATGTGGAAATGTTTTACATGATTCCACATGTATAAACTATATTAGATTGTTTGAGAATCTCAAGGAGGGGGGAGGGGAGGAAGGGATAGGATTCCAAACTCAAAACTTTTTTAAAAAATGTCAAAAAATTGTTTTAACATGTAATTAGGGAAAACATAAAATATTACATAAAAAGGGAAATTAATAGGAAAACAGATAGAAAAAATAACAGGTAACACCAGCTTTCTGCTGGGATAAGCATCTTGGGGATAGAACCTTAAGTGTCATTAGCCTCTAGCCAACTTTAATGCTTTCTGATCCAGGGCCTGAAATAAAAGAGGAAGGAGAGAAGAGAAGGAAGTGACTATGTTAATGAAAGGGGAAGTCGTCCCAAGCTGTTACCCAGTGCTATCTCCTGTATAGATAAGGAAATGACTTGTGGATGGCCATAAAGTCTAAAGATCACTGCCAAGTTTAGGAACTGATGACTTATGGCTCTCCTATAACAGGTACCATAATTGAAATGCCATTAATGACAGCTAGGCTTAGCATCACCTCTCCTCCACTCCCCCCTCCCCCCACCAAACAACAGCAACAGCTATCTCATTGGTCTCCCCGACTCCAATCCAACTTTCACACAGTAGCCCAGTTGATTTTCCTTTAAGCACAATGTCACTCTCCCCTCCCCTCCTCAATAAACTCCAGTGGCTCCCAACTGACTCTAGGATAAAATGCAAATTCCTATGTCTGACTTTTAAATTCCTTTAAACCCAGCCCCCATCTATCTTTCCAGGCTCATCACTCCCCTTCTACATTCTATGGTTCAGCCAAATCGGCCTCCTTGCTGCTCTTAACACCAGACGCTCCACCACCTTCCAGCCTTTGCACTGTATGGCCCCAATACTTGGAATGAACTCTCTTCCTCTTGTTCTCTTCCTAGAAGCCCTTATTTCCTTCAAGACTCAGCTCAAGCTCCACCTTCTGCATGGAAGAAAAGTTTTTTTTAACTCTCTCTTTCAAAACGACATTGTACTTATTTTGTATTTATTCTGTATATCGTGGTAGCCGACCAAGCTGTTTCTTCCCCAATAGTACAAATGTTCCTGAAAGGCAAGCAAGGACTGTATCACTTTTGTCTTTGTACTCCCAGTGCCAAGAACAGAGCAAGGCACACACAGGAGACTAATAAATGCTTGCTGTTTGATAGTCTTATCACTGTATCATCCTTCATTATTTGTCTTTAGCTCCCCAGTGCCAAGCACAGAGCATGGCACAAAGTAGGAGCTTAATAAATGCTTGTTTGATATCACTTTAATATCCTCATTAGAAGAGTCTTCAATTCAATTCAAGTAACCCCAAAATAGGAAAGTATCAATCCAAACAGGGATTTGGGAAGAGGGTCAGGGACAGCAAGTTCCTTATCCAGAAAGCTGGGAGTGGGAAAGATAAAGGGGGAGGGGAGGAGTAAGACTACAAGAGGGAGTATGGAAAAGTTAGAGGATAGAAGATAGTAGGACTACAAAAGGAAGGGTGGGAAAGATCAGGCGGTGGTGGGACTACAAGAAGGAGGGTGGGAAAGATAAGGAGGTAGTGAGACCACAAAAGGGAACTGAGGAGCCCAGAGGGACTTCTCTCTTAAAGCCCAAACTACTCCCACCACAGCAGACGAGAAATTAGGAAAGAGAATAAACTCTACAAGAACTCCAACTCGTTGATCCCCACCCTGGAATAGCTGTTTAAAACTACAAGTAGCCAGCTCCTTCATATGCTCCAGGCCCCTCACTACCCACCTTCTAGGGCCCCCCCGTACTTCCTAAACTAATTGCAAAGAAACCCTGGGGCAGAGAGGCTACCTCAGTTTCAAAAATGATTTGCCTCTCTTAACGCTTTCACCCCATGCTCCCAGTCTCTAATTCCTAGTTTCCCCACCTTAGGAAGAGTCCCAGAAAGAAGGAAAACGGGGAAGGGGGAGGAGAGGAGGAAAGCGGGAGACTGAGGGGAGGCGGAAAAGGGGGAAGCCGAGAGGAAGTAGAGGAGCAAGTGGGGGAGTCAGATCTCCAGGAAAGGGAGGTGGGGGGGGCGGTGCTGAGGAAGAAAAAAAGGCAAAGGGATGGTTGAAGAATGGGGCAGAGAATGGGGCTTAAGGACAGCAGGACGGGAGGGAGAACCCTAGGCTGGAGACCTCGCCCGGGACTGCACATGGATGGAGAGTGTGGGGTGTGGGGCGCACTCACTGACCTCCTGGTAACTTGGGTCCTGGGGGTTGAAGATGCTATCCACGGGCTGCAAGCGTAGGCTCAAGTGCGGGAAGCTATGCAGCCAGACGGCCCACCAGGGCGCGATGTAGTCCACCCGGGCGGCCGGCATTGCTCCGGCCCTTCCGCCCGTCTGTCCGAGCGTCCCGCCAGCCAGCAGAGCAGCCACGGCAGCCGAGACCACTGCACGGGGCGCGCTCCCGTCACCATCCCTCGCAGGCTCTCCGATCCCTCCCCTCTCCCCCGCCCCCACGCGCGCCCCCGGCCCCGCCTCGCCCCTCAGCTCTCCCGCGGGGCTCCGGGAGGGAGGCGCCTGTAAATGCAGATATGAGAGAAATAAAGAGGTCTCTACTGCCGCCCTCTCTGCCCCCGCCTCTGGGCAGGATCAGGATCTGAGATTTAAAGCTGGGTCATCTGGTCCCGGGTCAGACAACAGAAAAGTAACTTACCCAAGTACAACTAGTTTGAACAAAGGCATAAGACTATTATAAATTTAGTGACAGATGAGGAAACTGAGGTACAGAGCGCTAGAGTCACGCAGCTAGTAAACGTCTTAGACAGGATTTGAACTCATGACTTCCTGACTCCAAGCCCAGTGAGCGGGTCCACTGCTGCCATGCTGCCTCAGGTTGGCATAAGTTGCCTTCCAAAGCTTTATCATCCCCTAATCATCAATGTGTCTACCCGATGTCTTTCTTGCAGACATTTATCATTACTTCCAGTCTTACTCATCATTACTTTATACTGTTGATTATAATTATTAACTAGCCAGACCCAGAGGAGGGACTGTCTACTCTTAGGCCCTGGGGTGATGGGGGAGGGGGTGTATCCAGAAGGCACATTTAACACATTGTGAGCATCCAGGCAATATTAACCACAATAATCATATCTGGTATGGCTTTTCTCACAACCCTATGAGGTAGGTAATGCATGGTTTATTTGTCTCCATTTTATAGATGGGGAGACTGTCTGAAGATGAAATGATGGCCATAGTTGCATACCTATTACTTGACAGTCAGATGGTTCAAACTAGGGATTGAAATCATGAGACACTCCTAGGCCAGATAACATTTTAGTAAAGGAAACTGATTTAACAAAATAGCAAAGAGAGGCTATTCAGCAAAGATACAGTATTAATTCAGGAGGATGCTGCTCCCCTCCTCTCCATATGGAGATTAGCCTTATCAGGAGAATGTATTTACTCCTGGAGGTGGGTAGGTTGTAGTCTATCTATCAGCTTGAGGGGCTTCTTAACACTGGGCTTTTCATGCCTTTGGTGACTGGGACACTTTGGTTTGGGCCACAGGTTCCCAAAATGGGTGATAGTGGCCCCTAAGGAGCGCTAGAACAATCCAGGGAGGGCAGTAGTAGCCTCAGGCGCAATTAGGAGGTATTGAGTAAAAATAAGGGAGTAGTGGACGTAAGGAAAGAAGAAAAGAGAAGAAAATTTTGAAAAACACTTCCTACATGTTTCATCTGTTGTGTAAACAGAGTTAAAGTTGTAGTGATTACATTGTTTTCCAAAAAAACCCACAGAAAATGCCAGTTTTAACCTATCAGTGGTCAAGTCTGCTGACAGGTCTTAACAAGCAAGTGTTGGCAGGTGAGCATATCTCCATTTGTGGGGAAGTCCAGCATGCATTAGCAAGAATATGTGCGTGTAATGACTTGCTTACAATATGATACTATATTGTTACATGATACAATATCAAATCATCAAAATTTCAATGCAGGGAAAACCCCACAAATTTACAATAAATTATTGAATTTAAGATGTGACATTTTTAAAAAAATCATATATTTTTTGAAATGACCCAAATTTTAAAAAAACCATCGAAGGGTCAAAGAAAGTAGATTTCGGGGGATGAGGAGGGAGGAGGGGCGCTGAGTAATTTTTTTGAAAGGGGGGTTAGTAGTAGGCTGAATAAGTTTGGGAACCTTTGGTTCGAGCCTTAGTTCCATGGATCAATTAAGTTTTGAAGTTGTTTTCATTAACTTTTAAGGGAAAAGTTAGCATAACCTATTAGGAGTAGATGTTACTGTTACCACAGCTATTAAATTTTATTTTTTATTTTATTTTTTTTATTTTATTAATTTATTTTGATTTGTCAGCAATCACTTCCATATGCTTTTGAGTTGAGAATTTTTCTCTCCCTTCCTCCCCCCCACCCTCCCCAAGACGGTATACAATCTGATATAGGCTTTACATTTACATACCCATTAAACATATTTTCACATTAGTGAAGTTGTAAGTAAAAATTAAAACCAATAGGAGGAGCCATCAGAAAGATGAAACAAAACTCAACAGAAGGTAAAAATAAATGATAGCGATTCGATTTCCATAGTTCTTCCTTTGGATGTGGACGGCATTTTCCATCCTGAGGCCTCTGGAGATGTCTTAGATCCTTGTAATGCTGAGAAGGGTTCAGTTTAACAATATTAGTCATTGTGTAACATGGATGTTATTGTGTACAAAGTCCTCTTGGTTCACAGCTATTAAATTTTAAAAGTGGGATTGGAGCTCTAAACTGCTAATCCATGATACTTCCTCTATATTATGAGTGATCCAACGAGGATAGGAGAGAGTGAAGGGCTAACAGATTAAGGTATGAGCAGGCAGAAATAGGAAATACAGAACACAAACTTCTCTCCTTTCATTCTCTGCCCTCCTCTCTGTCCTGACACCATCTTCCCATCCAGGAATCTTATAAAGAAGATTCTTGTTCAATCATGACTGCTGAGATTCCATGACAGTGAATCACTCTCCACCTCACAGTTTATATAGTATCTTCCTTTCCCCACTCCACACCGCGACTGCTTCACTCCTTTCCTTCTAGACGAAAAGCAGTACATGTAAACCATGGCAATGTATTGCAGCTGATTCTCTCCCTCTCTCTGTCTCTTCCTATGCTTGCAGCTCACCTGGGAGTGTTGCTTAGCTTGGTGCTTAACAGGCTGCTAACTATTGTAATCTACAGATCCTCCACTCCCATTCCCCAACTACAATTCAGTTTCCCTCTTGATTAGCAATAATAATTTGTTTCATATTTTTTATAGCACTTTGAGTTTATAATGCACCTTCCTCATAATAAAACTGCCATTAGGTAATGCAAGATTTGCCCCAGTTCACCTAGATAGTTTCAGGGCCAGGACAGAATCCAGGTCCTTACCCTGTGGGGTAGCTGAAATAGAGTGTAGAATGAGCAGCCTGAGGACACTCAATCCTTTCTGTGCCTTCTGGCCAGCTGGATTAGGAGCAAAACTTAATCCTTCTCAGGATTTTCCTATCTCCTTTCCGGGGGCTGGTTAAGGGTAAAAGTCTTTTCTCTGGGCCCTACTCTCTCTTCTCTACTCCCCCTCCTCTCCGCCCTCCCCTCCTCCTCCCCCCCCCCCCCCCCCCGCCCCCAACCCCAGTCCCTTTTCTCTCTGAAGAGCCAGTTTGTATTTAGTCAGCTTGTGTTGAGGACTATCTCACTTCTAGCTGATGAGGTTTAGGGGTGATGGGACCCCAAAATCACAATACAGGGGGCCTGCTCAAAAGAATTCGACCCAAGCCTTCTTTCAGCCAAAGACAAGGTTTATTAGAACATCTGTCCAAGTAGTTTGGGGTGAGGGGAGGAGGAGCCTAAGGAGATCTGGATGGGAGGGGAATGGCCAGGGGCCATAGGAAGGTAAGTCAATGGAGGGGAGATTGGGTGTAGCCACAATGAAAGGCCAGTTGATGGGATTATACCCTCAGGCTAACGCCAGAGATTTGGCCATGGGATAGTCCAGGGTTTTTCCTTTCTGGGGCCCAGATCCCATCCCCATCATAGCCACTTGCTAGGACTACTGCCCTCCAGGTCCAGAAGGTTAGTGGGGTAAGGGGACAATACACCACAAACCAAGTCAATAAAACATTTTAACAAGTATCAACTGGCCACAAGGCACGGTTGGAATGCAAAGCAAAGATAAGATTCTGTGAAATAAAAATTAAATACTACCTGCCCTCAAGGAGCTTACATTTTAAATGCACGAAGTGCACAATATTTTGAAAAGGGAGAAATTGGACTAGCCACTGGGGGCAGGGTAAAGTGGGAATCAGGGAAAGCTTAATTCAATTCAGGTAATATTTATGAGGGCAGCTAGGTGGCATAGAGCATGAGTGTTGGGCCTGGAGTCAGGAAGACCTATCTTCAATTCAAATCTGGCCTCAGACATTTCCTAGCTGTGTGACCCTGGACAAGTCACTTCACCTCTTTGCCTCAGTTTCCTCATCTGTCAAATGAGCTGGAGAAGGAAATGGCAAACCATTCCAGTATCTTTGCCAAGAAAACTCCAAAGGGGGTCATAAGGAGTCAGACACAACTGAACAACGACAAACACCTGTAGTGTACAAGGCTCTGTGCTAGATGCTAAACCTATATAGAAGAAAAACACCACAGGTGGACCTAGAGGGGTAGGGGTGCAGCATGATATGAAGAGCAATTAAGTGTAATACTAGGCAAAGAGATTCAAACAAGGTGTTCTAAACATTTGAGAAAGGAAAGATCACTTTCTTTGGAGGTTGGTAATTGGGGGAGGGGGGAAGAAAAAATCAAATATAAGCTCCTTGATGGGAGGATCTCTGTTTTTGTATAAGGGCTTAATAAATGTTGAATTGAATTGAAGTAGCTCAAGCTGGAGTTTGAGGGTAGAAAAAGATTTCTACTAGCTAACATAGAAGAGAATATATTCCAGGAATGTGGAATATTCCTTGGGAAGTAAGGAAGCAGGAGAGTTCTTGGTGAATTCAAGGAATTTTTTTTTTCTATCAGGGAATGAACAGGAGTCCAGTTTGGCTGGAACATAAAGTGGGTGCGGGGAAGTATAATTAAGTTGCAAAGGCAGATTGGAATCAGACTGTGGAAAACCTTAAATGCCAGGCTGAGCTGGTACTTTATCCTCAAGCCACAAAGGAGCCTCGGAAGGATTTTGAACAGGGGAGTGATATAGTAGGACCCCTATATTAGGAAAACTATTTTGATACCCAGGTAAAGTATAAACTAGAAAGGGGAAAGACTGGAGGCATTTAGAAAACTATTGCAAAAATTCTGGAGCGAGATTAGGGCAGACACTGACATTTTGGGGTGGTAGCTCAGTAGGCAGAGAGAGAGAGAAGGGATGAATTTGAAATGTGGTCTAGAGACAGACCAGGCAGGACTTGGCTACTAATTGGATTAGGGGACAGGTGGGGAAGGAAGACTCTAAGATA